AGAGAAAAAGGAATGACCAAGAGGGTGTCAGGGGAGCAGGTCAAATAGAGAGCAAGCATGGTTTAAATCAAGGGGATAAATAATGCCGCACCCAAGGGGTTGAAACGGCATCTAATGTAGCCATGGTGTTCGTGAGCTTAGCTGTCTGCTTTTCATTCATCATGACCCATGAGATACGATTCTTTACAATATGAATATTGAGGGAGGGTGTCTTCCATGGTTTAGCAATTTCCCTTTTTGCTGGCGATAATATATGTTAGCACAATTTGAAACTCCTATCGGGAAGGGAATCGGGCTGCTAATTGAGGAGAGCCATAACTGGATTTTTAGCTACAGGGTTACCTGCTAGGACAAAAAGAATACGGAACACCTGATCCCAAAAGCACGAAGTGAGACCTCGACTTTTCCTTTTAAAAGTGAAGTTCAGTCCTGACCTTTCCTCTTCAGATTGTCTGTGCAATTGGATCGATAAGGCAAAGAATAGTAACCAACCAGAAATCCCCATTCATTGTTGGGACTACAGTAAACTGAATTCTATTTGGTATAGGTTACTGCACATCACCACTGCCTTATGCACTACTTTACTGAATCAACCCAAACATCCCCGGACAGGGAAGCTTCTTCCTGGACTGCCTCCCCCATCAGGTGTTCTGGGAATTCCTTCAGGAATTTCACTTGGCTCTCTTCCTGTCACGAAGCCGTTGTCTCTATAGTTACTCTGACATCATCTCAGGTATGAGAGCGCATTATAAAACATATTAAAACAGAAACAGCTGCCAAGCTAAACTACAGCAAAAAAATACAGCTTAGCATTATCAGATGGCAGGTTGCCACTTCACAGGAGTTTACATTTTTATCTGAGCTCAAGATGGCGTATGGGTTCATAAAATCATCAAAATCAAATATGCCAGCATATGGTCTTCTCACCAATTCAGAGTTGTTTAGCTAAACTTTGAAGAATTAAGGCAGTTCAGAGATGCCAACCATATGTGCACAAGAGGTAAATCGCCCTTTTCATTGAATACTTTCTAGACATCCATAAAGCAAAATGTAATGTTTTAAAGCCACAATTTCCACCCTTTTAATATTTTTCCATCTGGTATATTGGCTAAATAATCTTCAGTTTCTCAGTTATACTTAATGTAGGGAGAAATGCATACATAAAACATTGTTCAGCAATACATGCTTGATTGACTTGTCGCATCAAAGAGAGTGGCGCATTGTAGAGGACTGGATTGAAACTGGGCAAACAGGATTGCCTCAGTGAACAGGTTAGCAAAATCCTAGAAAACAGTGCTCAGCACAGGAATTGGGGCAATAATGCCTAGCCGCTGTACTACTACTGCTTGAGAGAGCTCCATTGAGAATTGCTACTATGTGCGGTGACACAAGAAGGACTGAAGTGAAAAATCAAAGTCTACTCCTACTCATTGATTAATGGCTTGCATGTGCATGTCCCTGCACATACTATTTTTTAGAGCTAGGTTATCAAGCGCAGCTAGGAAGAAAGGAGGAGAAACTCCAACCCAGCATAAGTCTACTGGGTGCAGGAACAGGAGCAGAAAAACTGTGCCAGTTCAGGACTGATAACTCTATAAGGAATCCCCAGGCATACTGGCCTGACCTTAACAGAGGATTCCAGTGTGAACAAGAACACAGATGCGGAGTCACTGCCGACTGCAGCACTGTTTCATAGAGAACACCAGTATAGATAATGAACTGGGAAACTGTGCTCCTTGGCTAACTGGAGAGACCCCTAGGATTTCCATAACAGGACTGAAGCTACCAGTAGCTGTTGATAACTGAAGAAACTTGCAGAAATCTAGGGCTGTCACAGAAAGAACACCAGTAGGAACCGGGAAAACCTGCATGGTTGGCCGACTGGGAAGACTATTAACATAATAGCCAGCAGAGAACAGGGTAAGCTTGCTTTAAGGCATTGTTTAACTGAATCTTTAGACTTGGCCATCTGATATGGGATAGGTTATTCTTGTGATGACTCATCGAATTCTGTAGGCAAGTTTCAGCATAGCTGAAAATGATACAAAGTTAGCACGAAGACACTGATCTAATTTCTGCACCAACAGCAACAGATTTCAACTAAGCAATAACATACACCTGATCCCCTAAACGTACTACGGCTGCAATATAACAGAGTGGAAATTCATATATTTGCAAATGTTCCTGCTTGACTGGTATGCTTTAATTGTATTGTCATTTTAATTATTAGAACAAGATAGGGTACGCTATAAGTTAGGACCATATTGCAATTAAATCTACCTTAAAGTGACATTAAAGTAAAAAAATTAGTTTTTCCCTCCCCCCCAATGTTAATGTTAGCACTTACCTAAAATGAGGTCTCTTAATCCGATCTTCCTCTTCTTTCCTGTTGTTTTCTTCTGTCCCTCCAGCGGTGCGGCGTCTCTCCGATCCAGCGCTGACTACTCTGTCCTTGCTGGCACTTCCGATCCTGCGGTGTCTGCATGCGGGTGCACGCGTCCATAGCTTACCTTGCGTTTTTGCTCGTCTCCCGGCCGAAAAACCCAACTGCACATGCGCCGGCCCCAGAATGCTTTGCGGCCGTCCGAGCAGTTTCGGATTCTTGGACGGGAGCGCATAGCAAAGACGGGGTAAGTTTAAAACGCTGTTAAAGCAGGGTTTTTCTTTTTTGCATATATCTACTGCTTGATAACAGTAGATATAGGCAAAAAAAAAAAACGGAGGGTTTAGAAAACCTTTTGGCATTTTTAATTTTACAGAAGTTGGCAAGTTGAAGAGTCGGAGTGTATTTCTCGACATTCCCAGGCAAAGAGCTCACCTTCAGTGCTTGCTCTTGAGAGCACAACATTTGTATCTGGTCAAAGTACTGCCTCTGGTAAATGGACTTCAGTTCATTTTCCTTTAGTTGCATCTCCAGGTGGCAGTGGGCAGCCCTTATTTCCTCTCTCTTGCTAAATACAGAGTAAAGAATATCTTGATACCTGGAAATAGAGGCAACTCAGATGTTAGTCAATTCCATAAATAAGAAAAATATATAAATATACTGTATATCTAATAATATATCAATAAAGATTCAGGTAAAAGAGTGTTGTGTTTGTTGATCTTCCAAGGAAGAACATGCCCAACAATATAGATATTTCCTTGTGATGAAGGAAAAGAAGTTGAATTCATGAATTGAATCCTCATTGTATAAGAAGGGGAAACTCAGATGCAGGGATCCAGCATCAAGACCTGAATGGAAATGGTGTGGGCAGAGACTTCACTGTTTAGCAAGCAGGCATGAGGGGATGACAGGAGAAGTGTTCAATTTCATTCATAAAAGAGTGCAATTTGTTACCTTCTCTTTTTCATTTTCAATTGCAGCTTTCAGAGTTTGTAAAAGATCCACCAAACCATACATTTTATGAAAGCAAATACACATAAAATCGTTATCGCACACAAAAACATAATTAACAAGATACCGACTAAAAGATAAAACTGTACTGCTAAAAGTCTGGAGGTTGGCCTCACGCTTATGTATTTAGGCAACGCCTGATCCGCAGTCCTGTTTGTGCACTTTGTTGCAATCAAATGATGCAGGCATACATTTAATCTGCCTTACAAAGACAGATGCATAATTGGATTTGTAGTTTTATCTAAAAGGTGGAGGGCCGAAGTTTGGCTACCCCTGCCCCAGATGCATAGCAGAGCATATGGCATCAGATTGCCAACAGCAAGCATCAGGAACCTGGTCAAATAGAGTCTCTACATGAGTAGACTGTAAAGGTTTAGAACTAAATCAGAGATAATGATAGGAGCCTCAGACACTTAGAGATAAGGTGGAATTTTTGAGCATGTACCATAGTTCAGTAAGCTTATGTCTGGGTCAGCGAAGAACCATAACAGTAAAAACCCCACCCACCATCAATGATATAAGATATCAGAAAGTAAGACGATAGCCAGGGACCACTTGGCACACAGCTGTGGACCATGGGTGGCCCAAGGATCACAGTCTGAAAAATACTGGCTTAGAACAAAATCATTGGATGCACAATATTCCTACAATGCATTTATAAATTAAAGTTCCAAGTCCAATACTTAAAATGATTGGTAACCAGATGTTAACCCAGAAGCTTTCTTAGAAATTCCACATTTTTCACAGATTTGACATTCTTTATGAGCACATGTTAGGCACTGCAAAACAAACTTAAAAGCAAAATTGTAAAACACATAGGGAAAATGACTACACGTTGTAGAATTGTCCTCTAAATCAGCTTTCCGAAAGGAGGGAAAAACTTCGAGCAGAGCCACAACAAGGTAGAATTTATGTAGTGTCTACTCTGAATCACAATGAAAACAGGCAGCTTGGTGTTTCAGTGAGATGAGGCAGATTAGTGTGTTACTCAGAAGCCCGGGGATACATCTGAACTGCTAAGATCCCAGCTGTGCTTCTCTGCTAATGTGCAACAGTAGGTTTTAATGAAAACTGAAGACTGTTCCTGTAATGCTCAGTGCATTCCCTCTTACGTGGAGGATGATGCTGTTCTGCTGAATTTTTTAATACAGAAGAGTCTGAAGCACTCTGAAAGCTTGTGTTAAGTGTGCCCTGAGCCAATGTCAGTATAATCTCATCAGTCACACAGAGAGTGTTGTTACAATAATTCAAGAGGCTGTTACCCAATATATGTAATTACGTATTATTTATAGCAATTTTGGCATTAAAAAAAATAAACTATTTTCTTTTATCCTAAGAGTGCATTCACACCACTACATTGTCTAGAATGAGCATTTGACATTTCTTTTTTTAGGGCTTTGAGCATGTGCTGTGGTGCACTTTTAAACCCTGCCCCTCTGCACAATAAAGCACTACTCCTGCAGAGTGTAGTGCACACAATCCACAAGAACAGACATGAAGTAGGCAGGGGGTTTCCTGGGATTTTTTTTTTTTTAAGCGCATGGAAAACATGCATTACTGTAGTGACAACAGAAGGTTGCAATGCTGGGCCTCCAAGGGAAAACAAGGCCTTAAAGAGGGCTTCTAACCTTGTTATTTTGGTTCTTGAAAACAGACAACCCTCCGCAGAGAAAGCGAGGCCTGTTTGTTTAAACAAGAGATATGGGGTCCACGACAGGGACAACCCATTTCTTAAGGAAGCCTTCCTCAATAACATATTGCCGAGCAAACCATTTTGGGGAGAAAACAATTTTTCAGGGTGTTGTCAGTCACCATACAACACAAGCAGTAACAGTTTATAGGTAACTTTTTTTAATCATGTTTTGGTATTTTAATGAACCCCAGAGTAGTGATCTCTGGAAGGGTTGACAAGGTGGCTCTAAATGCAAGCACGTGTGGACTATGTTTACAAAGACAGAACTAGTGTCCATGAGCTTAGAGGAACTGTAGCTAGTTCCACTTCCTGGGCTGCCTTCTCAGAATTGAAGGGAGATCTTTTCTTTTTCCCCTTCATGTAATACAAATGTAGACATGTAGGAGAGTCAGAGGAAGCCTCTGAGGAGGGCCCACCTGTGACCCCTGCAGTATAAAGTCTCTAAGAGGTCATCCATTTTTCCCATGAAATCAAGCACAACAGCCTGTAAACTTATATCTAGACAATAAGTCAGAGGAGGGTGTTCTAGAGAGGACCGAGGACCCAGATGCAAGAAGGAAAAAGGGAGAGGAAGCAAGGCATAGGACCAACAGAGATAGTACCTCCAGAGAAAGTAAAACCTTCATCAGGACCGTTGTCAGATTGAGTGGACCCTGCCCAGGCATTTCTGTGTCTATAATCCATGGCCACAGCTAACCTAAGTGGCTTGTGGTCCTCCCCAGAGAGGCGGCTGCAGTTAGAAAATACATGACATCTGTGCTACGACCTCCAGAGAAAGAGTGTATGCAAGGAACACTTTGCAGATGTCAGTGCTCAGCTCCCTCAGTCTTAACAGATACCGCCGTAGAATTGCAGTGGCAGGAATTTAAAAAATTCGAGGTAGCTCCCAGTTCTTCAGCCCCAGCCAGCCATACCTAATAAAAATTCTAAAAAAGACTAGGTCACACCACAGGCCACCAACCAAGTGCCACTAAAAAGAGCCCGAAGGTCCCATTCCAGGATAGCCTCTACATGATCAGAGACCTACTCACTAACCACCTGGAAAGTGCTCTGCAGTTAACAGTAAGCTCAGGTCTAGAAGGAGCCACAGCACCCTGAAGGTCACATAGCATACTAAGCTGACTATTTTTAAGTCCAGCGGGGTCCAGTTATGGCCTCCAAAAGCTATTGCGGAGGATAAAATTGGTCTGGATAGCTGTGATGTACAGACCAGCTTAAGCAACAGTTTAAGTTTTAAATTAAGTCACCAAAGAAAAGAAAAAAAATATCGAAAAGCCATGACAGTTGGAGATGGGGTTATGGCAAAACCTCCTAAAAGCAGCAGCAGATTGGCCACAGGTTCATTTTAAGCTTGTTCTCCTAAATTGCACAACATTGTTCGAAATCCTCTCTGCAGTTCAATAATCTCTACTGCAACTACAAAGGTTTCCCTTTTACAGAAACTCCTTTCAAGAAAAAAGTTCTAATGAGAAACTATTTACCGCTTAGTTTCTGGCCGTTCCTGGCTTGAGGCAAGCAATGAATTTTGCTTAGCTGGTTCAAAAACGTTTTTCTCCTCATAGGTCTTTAACTTCTCCTTTAACATTGCAATCTAAAAACAAACAAACAGCACAAGCATCTGAATTTGCTCAGTATTTAAAGTAGTATTAAACCCACAAACTTTTTTAATTAATGAGTCCAGATCAAGCAAATATACATCGCCCAGCAAAGTGTTACTTTACATTTTAGACCAAGTACAGACATCATGTTTACAATCAGCTGTGTTCACCTCCCTGCTCAGCTTCCCTGAACGTCTTGTCCGGTAAAAGATCACAAGGGACAGAGCAGTCTCCAGCAGCTGTAGCTTGAAGGGGAGAGGCTTACTTTGCTGTGCCTTTGTGTTTGAGGGGGAGACACACGGGGTTATTCACAAAAGGGTGAAGAGAGTTTGGGGAAGGCAGGAAAAGTGAACAATCTAGGACAACATAGCTGACCTGGAAAGTGAGCTGAATTGGAGGATTCTTCCAAATCAGATACTTTGGCCTAGATTGTTCACTTCTCCTGCCTTATCCAAACTTGGCACCCTTTTGTGAATAACCCTGACATAATTTACTAGCACCACAAGCGTGGCTCCAGAACACTGCGAGGGAGAAGGAGCCACCCTAAAACAGGATATCAGGGGCAGTGCTCAGGGGACCAGTCGACTCTGCAGGAATCTAAAACTTTTAAACATCAAGGAGCAGCATCAATTGCAAAGGATTTAAACAGCATTTGAAATGGCTTAAAACTTTTGACTTTAATATCACTTTAAGCTCCTAAATCATGTTAAATATATTATATAAATTGTTCTCCAGAATTGTGTTTTTTTATATATCCACAAGTATTAGAATATCAACACCTTCTTAACCAATAAGGGTCCTTTTACAACCTAAATACCACCAACAAAAAGTCTATTGCTATAGATAATTGAAAATAATATTATTGTTGGAGCCGTCTAGTGTTATTGCATACTTGTTTAATAAGAATATCCATGTGTATGACCAGTCAGTGGAATCCCAATAATATGGGAACCTGGTGGTGTATACATCAACGGTGTCCATTCAAAGCCTTTAGTCACCATTAGATACCGTAGATTAGTGACTCAGAAGTCACGTGGTTCAATTAAAAGAAAACATTCTTAGTAGTATAAATAGTATTCATGCTACTGTCAGTAGTGACATAGCGGCCAGCGGGTGGAACCGCAGTGCATGGTGAGGGACACAGGCAGCCAGAATTGTTGGATAGTGAAGATCCAAGATATGGTGGCGGGCAGGTCAGTATTAATGCACTTTTGCAGGGTTTGTCTTACTCCCCTGCTGTGAAACTTTAAGGTTAGGATTTTGGGTTAAGGCAAAGTGTGGATTTTCAGGGTAATCTTTAAAGTTTAGGTTTAGGATAGGGGACACCTAACACTTGTTATTAAAGCGGAGATGCCTGCACTAGAACACACTTGGCACTGGTTTTACAGTAACAATAAAAAAGACATTGTGTTTCATATACTCAGATCCAAATATGATGGTTTACACAGACATACCTCCTTCTTCTGCTGCTCACAGATCTTAACATACTGACTGATGTGACTGTCCAGACTAACCACATTACTCTTCACCTGTAAACATAAAATAAATTGTACTTAATTTTAGGTCATGGCAAAATAATAAAAATATATGAAGCACATTTCCCTGTGTCTTATCCTCTTAAAAGCACAGAAAAATACCTGTTGATCTGCAAGGAAATAGGATGTTTGTAGGTTGTACTTGGAAGTCACATGAAGTCTAAGAACTATTTTACTTTCAGGTAATACTGCTGGACTGGATACTTGCATGCAAAAAAAAATCTTTAAGCCCAGAATACCCCTCCTGCTACCAGCATGCCTCATTTTGTAGCAAGCAGTACCAAGAGCATGATCAAAAACACAGAGGTGTGGGACCTGTCTCTCAATAGCCTCCAAGAAAAAGGATTTTACGGCGAGTACAAAGATGCTTTTTTCTTTCTTATTCACGAAGTAAAGAAGCCATATACATTCAAGACACCCAAAAGCAGTCCGACTGAGGGGTAGGCAACAGCAAACATCTGCTAACAGAAAAAAAAGAAAGAAAATATTAGAGAATGTGTGCTGCTCTAGAGCCGCCTGAACGATCAACTCCTGGAGACTGCAGCACTTTATAGGAATAGAGCAAACTAGGTGGTAAGTTAGCAAAAGAACAAAACAAGATGCCTTAACAAGAAATACTACTATCACTAGTGAGGAAAAACACAACATGGAAGGAGACCTTGTATCATAGACCATAACGTGGAAAGTATTCTACCTAATCAAACCAGAAGGAAGGAATATAAAAACAATTTCCCAAGAAGGGAGGATTCACAGACTTAAGCATGGTAAACAGGGAGAAGGAACTCCTCTCCAAAAACATAGACCAGACGGAGGAAACTAAAAACTATTCAAATGGTAAAGGAAGACCAGAGCTGCCCTAGACTGGAGAAGGCCCCAAGTGACAACTCGCCTGATCTGATAGGGTCCAAAAGAGAAAATGGGAAGGGGGGCATGTCTGGAAGCCCTGCAAGAGCAGACATGCACCGCCATGGCAAGGACTACCTAAGAAGAACCTGGAGGATGATTGGTTTAAAAGTACCTTCCAAGGAGAGTGATCCCTAAACCCCCTTTAAAAGATAAGGCAGAGGACAGAAGGTAGAGCTTTGACAAAATTTGCAAGAACTAAAACAGATGTGATGTAGCCGAGGACCAAGCTCAATTGCCACCTGTCGGTGGAAAGAGGAACCACTGGGGCAAGACATGAGACCTTGCCTGAAAATAATCTGCGTATCCTGCAGCCTCACATAGTTACTGTACTAGAGATGCCCCTAATTCCCCAGATCCAATGATGTAGTCAGAGTTTTAGAGCAACATTCAGAAGGCTTATTAAGACAGCAAAGAACATTTGCCTAGGTAAAACCAAAACAAAGAACACAATAAAGGCCTTCGTCTCAAGTCTGAAACATCCAAAGAGAAAAGGCTTAGACCAGGGAAAGTAAATGCCGGCACTCCAGCTGTGGTGAAACTACAATGCTGCCATGCCTCTAAGAGTCATTCCTGTGGCTGTTTTACAATGTCTAATGGGATGAGTCATAAAAGCATTCCCTGCTACTGTCAAATGATTCCTGCAGCAGAAAACTAGCTTGTTCAACATGCAGATAGCCCATGCCATCATTGGAATCTCCTCCGTCAACCTTCACCCACAGCACAGGATCTGGAATGCCCCATGTTGAGAAAACCACTTCCCAATGTCCAGAAGTAACCAATTGGGAAAAATTGGCTTACAGAAGATCGCAACAGAAGGGAGCAGAGCGGACAGGACTAGAAGTCAGGATGCAAACTACCTCTCATCAACACACGATTGTAAAGGCATGACAATACCTTGAAGTTGTCAAATGTATTGTATCTGTATCAGTAGAGCTGACCAGGGAATGATTGTGCTGTAGAATGCAGCCCAGGCGATAAGTGTTTTCCATTGAAAGGATCTTCCTCACTAGACCATGAACTGGAAGACCGATTCATTTGGCCAGGAGCTACTTGATCATCAGAAGCAGATAAGTTAGCCTGGTCAGAAATTTGATGCACAACAGCAGAGTGAAAACCTCAGATAGCCTGGGAAGAGACTGGTGAAAGGGGGGCGCTTTGGAGAAGGTGACCCCGTAACACATGACTTTCCTGCAACAGTTGAGAAACAAGTAACTCCCAAACTTAAAAGAAAATGACATAACAGCAAACATGCTGTAGCTCCTTGTACTGAAACTGTCTGCAAGTGATGAAAAGTTTCCAGCAACGATTCCTGATGTAACAAGATCCACCAAAATCTTGGAGCCACTAAGACCATGAAGACATGATCTAGTAGGGCCCAAGGTTACCGGTGTCTCCAATAAAGGTTCCTTTGATTGTCCACAATGGGAATACCATGAGAAGGCACCAGGGCAAACCTACGAGACCACATCCTGGAGAACACTCAGGCCGCAGAGGTGAGACGGCGGAATTAGATCCCTGTAAGGACAGTGATCAGCAAGTACTTTCTTAGCTGACTGAAAAAGTCAGAGGGTTCCTTTGAGGAGGAGGATGATGGATCTGATGGATGCCAAGCACAATTGATGGCCCTACTTGTCCCATAGAAGACAAACAAATGTTTGGTGGGAGAGAACATTGGCCAGGTTGGGATACAGTTTCTGAGACCAAACTAACACAGGAAAAATCTTTTTGGTTCAGGACACCCCAAGGAAGCAGAGGTGGGTCTGCTAATTTATGCAGTGAATTAGGAAGGTAGAAGGTAAGGAGAGCACTTGCGGCTGGGCAACAGTCTGTAAACCTGAAAAGGCACACGCTACACCTAAATGCCTGATGGACATACTAACCAAGAGCATTCAAGGATTTAAAATACTCCATAATGAAGGCTTCCCTGAGGGTTTGGTAGGTTTCTTACTCCCGACCTTGTGGATGGTAAGAGAACCATGCTTAGAGGGCCTAATTGTGCCTACCCTAGGAGGAGATGTAGGAGAGAAGTCTTAGCCAACCTTTCTTTAGACTTCTTGCGCTGAAGCAAGTGGGTGTCAGTCCAGTGATACCTTGAGAAAAGCATCAAGGTTAGGTCCGGAAAAGATGTAATTGCTCGAAGACCAAGCAAGTCAGGTGTTGCAACTGAGCTTAGGGTACGTGGCAAGGCCTCAGGTACTCAAAAAATTCCCCCCCCTCCCCACTTCGATCCTCCAGCGCTGACTGGAGGAATGGACGGTGGAGGGGGCGGGTACAGCTGGCTCTGCCTCTAGATAGGCAGAGCCAGCTGTCACTCAAGTAGCTGGTTGGATCTTGACAGTAATGTCGGGATCAGTCCCGGCTGCGGCAGTCTCAGTATACCACGAGCCGTAGCTCGCAATATACTGAGCTTTGGGACACGGGAGGATGCTAGTATATGTCCTACCGTGACCCTTAAGAGAACTATGGGGAAAAACACTTACCCCATAGTTCTCTTTTAATGGATCAGTAAGAAATGCATTCGGACATTAAGCCCTGTTGTGGGATCACTACTAAGCATTTTTGGAGGACCAAGTGGCGTGAGTCCTGTCTAGTGTCCTTTGCTAAACTACTCAACGACTCTTATATCTCTACAACATATAGGCCAATCATTCTGTAGTAAAAGATAAGACATAGGAGGGTTCTTTGAGATAACACAAGTGTGCAGAGGACACAGGACAGCTCTGAATTTGACAAGCTCAACAGGGTTTTTTGCACTAATCGAACAGATAACAAAATGCTTCTGATGATATATTAACCCTTTCATGAAAAAAATATTCTGGAAACTGTATTGTGTCGATACCTATAATGACAGTATTCCTAATGTGAATTCCTTTATTTATGGTTTTTCTCCACACCCACATGCAGATCAAGATGTCCAGCAAAAAAAAAAAAAAATGAGGTTACATGGGTTGGAACAAACCATGCAACACTGCTGGGGGTGTTTACATCAGTGAGCCTTTATCTATACGAATGAAACCTTCTTGCCAAAAGAAAAGAAGAAGATGTTGCGGTGACTGCTTAATGCGTTAGAGTTTTTAATTTGTTTGTCACCTACTTGCATGACTATATTAAAAGTTAGCCAGGAAAAAGCCAAGTAACATTTGACAGACAACTGCTCCTCAGAACATTACTTGATAAGAAACTTGTCATGAAAGAAACATGCTGGCTGCCATTGCCAACCTCCCCTTCTTAAAATATTGATCAAGTCACTGAGTAAAACAAGCACACAGAATAGGACATTGACCGTTTTCTTTGATTCCCCCGATCTGCATACTGGTCTGTGGAGCACAATGGAGCCAACATGACAGCCAATCAACAAAAAACCCAACTGCAAGTGGCAAGATAACCTGCATATAAAGCTGGGGGTCTACTTCACATTATATATCAAGTTTGTGACAACTACCGAATACTAGGATCTTGCCCAGATTCATGTGCACTATATTGTCCCCACATCATGGTCTATGCTAGGGATGCACCGATACTAGTATTGGTATTGATACAGAGTATTTGGGCGAGTACTCATACCTTTCCTGATACTGGAACTTCCGGTCAGAGGGAGATTTCCTCTGACCGGCGCTGCCGCGAGGGAACATGGAGGCGGGAGGCTGGCTTCATGCTGTTTGGCCGGCTTGATGCTGATTGGCCGGGAAGTCGGCTTCCCAGCCAATCAGTGTTGAGCTGGGCAAACAAATCTGATAATATGGCAACACAACCCCTACCCTGCAGACAAATCATTCCCCTCACATAGAGCCCTAGCAGTAGTCATTACTGTAACAGTCCCTCGGCCAGCTGGGCAGACACCGCTCTCCAGGATCTGCCCACGTCTCCTGTGCAAAGTGCCCACGTGATCGGCCCTCAGCCGACTACTGCGCACGCACAGGATTTCTGAATGAGGGCTGGGCAGTCTGCGTACAAAACACAAAAATTCCCCAGCCTCAACCTGCCAGCCAGCCTGCAACCAAACAAATAGCCCTGTCAACAGTATGCGTTAAAATCAGAGGTTTTAGTTGCACAAACTTTTGGCCAAAAATATGTAGAAGCCACACTGCCGCGCCAAGGCACCTATGCAAAGTGTGGTCCTAACTCTATGGGGGTGATTTACTAACCTAAAACACACGCACGTTTTTAACGTGCGTGCATGCAGGTGTACCTGGGAGGTAGCCAACTCCTCCTAATAAGGTGCAGGGACGCGCTGGAGGCCCAGCAACCAAAAATGCACGCTGGGACTCGTGCGTCCCCCAAACCAAAAATAGTCAAACTAGAAAAGATGGTACATGCATGAATCTATAAACCAGCCTTTATAGCAGGGCGCACATTGGGAAGGCTTACAAGAATACAAAAATTCCCCAGCCTCAACCTGCCAGCCAGCCTGCAACCAAACAAGTAGCCCTGTCAACAGTATGCGTTAAAATCAGAG